GTGTAGCCTTAACGGTAGATTGATACATCGATTGACACGCGATGCGGGGTGAATATGTTGATAGCCTATACCGCATACAATGAAAACATGCGTTCATGTCACTCGCGCTGATGCTCTATACATGACCACCTGAGGGTGAAATGTGTTTGAAACGTGCAATTTAAGTTTTAAACATTTCCCGCTACGCAATTAACTGTAGCTTGTTGACTGTTTGCTTTGAGTGGATGTATCTTTTATTATTATTATTATATACCGCAAACAAGGCAAAATGAAAACTAGATGTTTGTTTACATTTTTGAATAAAACTTCAATTTTTTGTTTCTTTTACAAGGATATGATTATAACATGAACAAGTTGCGTGCCAAAATCAAACAACTGACACAGAACGGTGAATAGGGCACTAGGATAGAAAATAACTACATGTGAAATGTGCTGTCTCTACAATATCACTAACAACACTAGAAGATACAGGGTTACGAATACTAGCATTACAGAGAAAGTTAGAATAAGACCATGTCTGGATTATATTGAGAGACAAAGGATGAAATGGTTCAGCCATCTAGTAAGAATGCAGCCAGACCAGACTGTATATGAGACTTTTTACAATAGAACATCTGGGAGGACCAAGAAGGAGATGGATAAATGGGGTTGATGAAACCTGCGAAAAGTTGAACAAATCCATCACTCAAATCACCCGAGAAGCGCAAGACAAATATAGAAACAAACGACACTGGGCTACAACCTGGTATCAGTGAGACGACAAAACCACGACACTGGGCTACAACCTGGTATCAGTGAGACGACAAAACCACGACACTGGGCTACAACCTGGTATCAGTGAGACGACAAAACCATGACACTGGGCTACAACCTGGTATCAGTGAGACGACAAAAACACGACACTGGGCTACAACCTGGTATCAGTGAGACGACAAAACCACGACACTGGGCGACAACCTGGTATCAGTGAGACGACAAAACCACGACACTGGGCTACAACCTGGTATCAGTGAGACGACAAAAACACGACACTGGGCTACAACCTGGTAACAGTGAGACGACAAAACCACGACACTGGGCTACAACCTGGTATCAGTGAGACGACAAAACCACGACACTGGGCTACAACCTGGTATCAGTGAGACGACAAAACCACGACACTGGTCTATAACCTGGTATCAGTGAGACGACAAAACCACGACACTGGGCTACAACCTGGTATCAGTGAGACGACAAAACCACGACACTGGGCTACAACCTGGTATCAGTGAGACGACAAAACCACGACACTGGTCTATAACCTGGTATCAGTGAGACGACAAACCACGACACTGGGCTACAACCTGGTATCAGTGAGACGACAAAGATTTTCCCATTTGACCAGGACTTCTGGAGTGGACTATACAACTACCTGTCTGTGATTTTACTAGAACTGCTACCACCACCACAACCGCCAACCCCCCCCCCCCCACCCCCAGTAAAGAAGAATGGTCCCGGTACTCATCACAAAAAGGTAATTGAACATGTCCGTGGTGCCCCTTCTCTTTGTGATACCCTTAGGATGTTCGTCTTGACTCAGGCCCTGGTTACAGTGTTACAATTTTTCGCCCAAGAGACAATTTGGGCGAAAGCAAAAGAAAATTCCGTTCTTCTTGCTTTCAGGCAGTAGTACGAGAGTTGAACCATGGATGAGACTGGGGCCTCACTACCTAGCATGATCATAGTTAGCAGCAGATAAATCGCAGTCAAACTACACTGTGGAGACAGCTTAACTTTTAATTGTATTTATTATTGAAGGGAAACGACACGGATGGAAAACACTATGTTGTTGATGATGATGAGGGTTTGAAGCTCTGTTTAGATATGTAGCATTTTTCAATGCCCGTAATCTACAGCTATCTAATGATGTTTATTGTTTCCTCTATTGTGCAGACGCCATGACACCGTCCATGAACCATCACACGGCTCCTCACGCCCTCGCCTCCATTCCTCCAACACCCGCACGTCCTAGCATCCAGGCTGCACACGCCCCGGCAGTGACGACACGACTCACTGTCCTCAGCAACGACAGCAACAGTCCAGCCACCAACGACCCCCACAGCGATACATCGCACGCGGACAACCTCAGCCATGGTACATCATCCCCAATAAAAGACAACTTTATCGAAGAAGATGATGATGACGACGAAGACGATGACGATTACGATGACGACGAAAGTAAAAGCGTATCCGGCAGTTCTGACAAAAAACCAAGTAAACGAGGTCTTTCCGATTCTCAAACAGATTCAAATCCTAACGACCCTCCAAAGAAACGAAAACGACGGGTACTATTTTCCAAAGCGCAAACATACGAACTCGAGAGGAGATTTCGCCAGCAGAGATATCTCTCCGCGCCAGAACGAGAACACCTAGCCAGTATAATTCGTCTGACACCAGTGCAGGTGAAAATCTGGTTCCAGAACCATCGCTACAAACTGAAAAGATCCCGTCAGGAAAAAGGATTAGGAGATCTGAACCCATTGCCCTCGCCACGACGGGTTGCCGTGCCAGTTTTAGTCAAGGACGGGATTCCCTGCCAGCGGCCGTCGATGAAAGTTCTAGATCATCATCATCATCATCACCAACATCATCCGCATCACTTCACGACACAGTCAGACATGGCCAACAGTATGGCGATGGGAATGAACATGGGTGCGCTCTCTCACGTGGGCTGTATGAACGGGTATGGCCACATGTCCTCAGGGACTCAGGGCATCTCTTCAACCTTGTCGAGCTCCACGCCCATCAACATGAGCTGTGCTTATAGCAACAGCATTGGACACCTCAACGTTCCTTCCGTCAGCAATATGAACGTGTTGCCTGGATACAGTCACCCACTGATGCAGTCACAGGCGCGCTGGTATTAATGCACGTGTGGCGTAGTGGTCTTGTGTGGGTAGGTGAATGAGGAGGTGTCGTAGGAAGGGCACACGTGTGGGGTAGTGGTCCTGTGTGAGTAGGTAAATGACTGGGTGTCGTAGGAAGGGCACACGTGTGGGGTAGTGGTCCTGTGTGAGTAGGTAAATGACTGGGTGTCGTTGGAAGGCCACACGTGTGAGATGGTGGTCGTGTGTGAGCAGATGAATGAATGGCTATTGTTAAGGTTAGTTGCGTATCCTTTAAAGGACGTTGCAGAACCAACCCCAACAGCCCCTGGCTGTTGTGTGGTTTCTCCAGGCAAGTTACATTGAGTAGTTTGCCATTGTTTTCTGGATGGACAGCTTTCTCGATACCACTATCGAAACCAACGCAAGGCGCATTGCCCGCAGCTGGGATCGAACCTGGCATCCTGGCATTACGAAACGAAGCGTTCGCATCGACTTAGCCACAGAGCCGACATGGCTATTGTAAGTATGCTAAATGTGTGGGACGTTCGTCTTGTGTGAGTAGGTAGATGGGTGGATATTGTAGACAGGACAGAATGGGCCACAGTAACTTTCGCAAAATGGACAATAAATAAATCATCATAATCAAGTGCCTCTCCACAGCTTCCGCTCCATGACACCGCGTAACAATCCACCTGCTCATGTGTATTTATTTTATATTTTTTGGTTCAAGAGCGCATGCATTGGATACAGTACAGACTCTACGTTTTAAAGCATTGAAACATCCAGCATACAGCGCAGACTTGGCACCATCTGACATTCATGTGTCTGGCCCAGCATTTGCGGAGTCACAGATTTGCAGATGACGAAGCGGTGATGTCCGGGCTGCAAACTCGGTTTCTGGCCACACCCTAAAGCTTCTACCCGGCGGACAACCACAATCTTGTAGATCTGTGTACTACCAGTGTTGCAAGGCAGGGAGATTATGTCGAGAAATAGGACACACAACGATTTTTCTCTGAACGCTTGTGGGGAAAAAACACCTATTAATGCAATTGCCTTTATTTAATGACTTCCCCGTGTACTCACTTTATGTGGAAAGCTAAGGTTGTAGATCGAAAAAAACGGTTGATATAGCACAAAACCTTAGTGATGACAAAATTAACATGTTTTGTCAAAGTGCAGTTAAACTTATAGAGCAAGGCTGGGTTGACAGACTTTGGTGTTTCAACAAAACACAATATGAACAATGAACAATCGTTGGCTTTGGGAGTCAAAAATAGTCACGTGGAAGGAGTAACGACATCAGTCGACTCACTCCCACCAAAACTGTATAGAAGTGTCTTGATCCGGATATTAATTGTTGCTTTTATTGGTGTTGTGAATACAACTTGTTTGGCTAGGTGGTTGGCTGGTTGATTGATTGGATGGTTGGTTGGTTGTTTGGTTGGGTGGTTGATTGACTGGCTGGTTGGTTGGGTGGTTGATTGATTGGTTAGTTGGTTGGTTGGTTAGTTGGTTGGTTGGTTGGTTGGGTGGTTGATTGATTGGCTGGTTGGTTGGTTGTTTGGTTGGGTGGTTGATTGATTGGTTAGTTGGTGGGTTGGTTATTTGGTTGGTTGGTTGATTGATTGGTTAGTTGGTGGGTTGGTTATTTGGTTGGTTGGTTGGTTGGTTGTTTGGTTGGTTGGGTGGTTGATTGATTGACTTGTTGGTTGTTTAGTTGGTTGGTTGGTTGGTTGGGTGGTTGATTGATTGGCTGGTTGGTTGGTTGTTTTGTTGGGTGGTTGATTGATTGGCTAGTTGGTTGGTTGGTTGGTTAGTTGGTTGGTTGGTTGGTTGGTTGGTTGGTTGGTTGGTTGGTTGTTTGGTTGGTTGGTTGGTTGGTTGGTTGGTTGTTTGGTTGGTTGGGTGGTTGATTGATTGGTTGGTTGGTTGTTTGGTTGGTTGGGTGGTTGATTGATTGGCTGGTTAGTTGGTTGTTTTTTGGGTGGTTTATTGATTGGCTGATTTGATTTGATTGGTTGGTTGGTTGGGTGGTTCATTGATTGGCTAGTTCGTTGGTTGGTTGGTTGGTTGGTTGGTTGGTTGGTTGGTTGGTTGGTTGGTTGGTTGGTTGGGTGGTTAATTGATTGGCTTGTTGGTTGGTTGGGTGGTTGATTGATTAGCTGGTTTGTTGGTTGATTAATTGGCTGGTTGGCTAGTTAGGTGATTGACTGATAGGTTTGTTTGTCGTTTGGTTGTCTGGTTTGTTTGTTGGTTGTCTGGTTGGTTTGTTGGCTGTCTGGTTGGTTTGTTGGTTGTCTGGTTGGTTTGTTGGTTGTCTGGTTGGTTTGTTGGTTGTCTGGTAGCTGGTTTGTTTGTTTATTCGTTCGTTGGTTGGTTTATTGTTAAGCTGGTTGCTTAGTTGACTGTATAGTTGATTGGTTGGTTTTCTGGCTGGCTGAATGTTTTGTCCCCAATCATTGGTCAGTTGGCTTGTTGGTTAGTTATCCTATTGTCTGGTTTATTGGTTTGTTAGTCGGTTAGCTCGTTGATTAGCAGACGTGCTGATTGGTTAGTTGATTGCTTGGCTGGTTGATCATTTGTTGCCAATCCCTATTATCAGACAAGTGGCCACTTATTGGATGACGTAAGCACTATCAGGTCGTTAGATATCTTGTGTAGACGGGCTGTGTGTGGGAAAGCTTCAGTGTATGAACCAGGGTACTAGTGTGGGCGCGTTGGCCAGTACCGGTGTGTGGAACAATGTGAATGTGTCATCCTCTTCATATTGTTCACCGGCTGTAAACTACGGTGGAAAGTTCTGGCTGTTCGTCCCCTCCTGGTCTTTGTTTCTTGTTCAAGAGTTCTCCGTGGGGCATTTTAAAGATCTGGTTTATTTGTTCACATACTGTGGGATCCTCGCATGTCTGACAGATGAACTCCTGGGAAACGCCCCTAATTAGTCGTCTTTTACGACACGCTTGTTAGGGTGCAGTGAGTATAATCTTGTTTACGCCAAAATGAAGCCCCGGACCTCACACGGAGAAATGGTACTCATTCATTCATTCAGTAGCATGTCCCTCGCGGAACCTCGCAGCCATAACAACCCTCCGGAAAACCTTCCTATCCTGAGCAAGATGTCCTGCGTCTGATACACCCATCTGGAGATCATCTGCCACATCCTGCACCCATCTTCTCCTTGGCCTTCCTCTTCCTCTCTTCCCAGGCATATACCCCTCCATTATTGTTCTCTCTAGACTTCCATGACGTTTCAAGTGACCAAAATATTTCAATTTTCTTTGTTTTATTGTCTTTACTAGCCAACCCTCTTCAATATTCAGCTCTTGAAGTATGGATGCATTTGTTCTTTTCTTTACCCAAGATATTCTTAGAACCTGTCTGTAACATTTATATTCAAATGCATTTATGCGCTGTTCCGCTTGTTTAGTAAGTGTCCAGGTCTCACAGGCGTATGTTGCAATGGGAAAGATGCATGCTCTTAAAAATCTGACCTTTGTAATTCTATCTGTACAATTCCATAATTTATTCAGTTGTTTTAGTCTTTGAAGAGCAATTGAAAGAAATGGTACTACACGTAACAATTCGAATGTTTTGGTACCTATAAAACTGAATTTGAGGGGTCAGATGCATGATGTTGCATGTATATTAAGTTGGGACAAACACAGAGGAGATAGCAAGCTGGCTGTCTTGTTGGTAAATGGTTGATGTGGCAAAAGATGTTAATGGGGCAATTTGTTGAAGCACTGTCAAACAGTTACTTGAAGCATCGGAAATGTAGCTCTTCCTTTGCTGTTGGAGATGGGGACGCAGCGTTTATGGAAGTGTCCCGAGCGCTGTAATGTCGATTCCTAATTCAACATGTGTTGAAGAAGAAGAAGAAGAAGAAGAAGAAGAAGAAGAAGAGGAAGAAGAAGAAGAAGAAGAAGAAGAAGAAGAAGAAGAAGAAGAAGAAGAAGAAGAAGAAGAAGAAGAAGAAGAAGAAGAAGAAGAAGAAGAAGAACAAGAACAAGAACAAGAAGAAGAACAAGAAAAAGAAATGAGGAGGAGCAGGAGGAGAAGAACAACAACAAAGGGAGATCTAGAGAACAAAAATACTACTCAATATTCACAAGACAGTAAAATAAACATTTTAGATTATATTACATGCACATGACATTGCCAGTCCACTGCCATTGTTTTCATTCAGTCTGACTTTTGTGTTTCTCCAACATTATCTTGCACCTGTTTGTACATATCTCCAGTATGTGTATGTATCATTGCGTCTGGGGGGACAGCCATTTAAATAGATACGTAACATTGGTGTGTACAAACAACAACATACAAGTCTGTTATTTCACCTGTAGCAATCACTCTTTTGACGTATGTTATCATAGGCTGAATAAATACAGTCCTGTTTGACACATATTTGTTGGTGTTTTTTGTTGAATGTTTTCTTATGCTTTCTTCGCTATTGTTCTTGTTGCTCTTTTAACTGTAACAGTAGGTGAAAGAATTATCATTCTTCTTCTTCTTCTTCTTCTTCCTCTTGTTCTTCTTGTTGTTGTTGTTCTTGTTGTTCTTTTTCTTCTTCTTCTTCTTCTTCTTCTTCTTCTTCTTCTTCTTCTTCTTCTTCTTCTTCTTCTTCTTCTTCTTCTTCTTCTTCTTCTTCTTCTTCTTCTTCTTCTTCTTCTTCTTCTTCTTCTTCTTCCTCTTGTTCTTGTTGTTGTTGTTGTTGTTGTTCTTTTTCTTCTTCTTCTTCTTCTTCTTCTTCTTTTTCTTCTTCTTCTTCTTCTTCTTCTTCTTCTTCTTCTTCTTCTTCTTCTTCTTCTTCTTCTTCTTCTTCTTCTTCTTCTTCTTCTTCCTCTTGTTGTTGTTGTTGTTGTTGTTGTTCTTGTTGTTGTTGTTCTTTTTCTTCTTCTTCTTCTTCTTCTTTTTCTTCTTCTTGTTCCTCTTGTGCTTGTTCTTGTTCTTTTTCTTGTTCTTGTTCTTCTTGTTCTTGTTCTTCTTCTTCTTCTTCTTCTTCTTCTTCTTCTTCTTCTTCTTCTTCTTCTTCTTCT